TTGTTATATATGGCGTGAAAAACTGAATCGAAGAAGGTGATTCAGAAATGACCTTCTTCGATTCAGTTTTTCACACTGAATCTGAAGCAAACATCTGTGAAATTCGAAGGAAAGAAAAAATATTGACCTCTTTTTCAAAAAAAAAGTAGGCCATCGAAAAAAACTGAACTTTCTCTACTAAAGACTCATTCGAAAAAAATGAAAGCACATATACTTGTTCAACTTACAAAGTTCTATCCAATCAGATATAAAAAAATTAAAAAAAAAGGCAGTTCTGCTTCAATCTTACACTTCTGTCACCTTACTTAATTGAGTTTTTGGAGATGCCCGTACAAGTCATCATATGATGAATTGTGAGAATAGTCGATTCTATTCATATGAACTCATTTATTTTATATGAAACTACAGACAATCATCAATGAATATTGTTACATTGTAAGATAGCTGAGAACAAAACCATTGATAAACAATCAGTAAATAGTCACATAAAATTCTTGTTTTTGTTTATAATAGGATATTATTAATCAATGTTGGTCATTTGTACCAGATGATCGTCCAGATTTTGCAATGTTATGTAAATCTCTAACAAAAATGCCAGGTAAACGAGCATTAGTTCGATCCCCATCAACACCACTCCAATATCATGGACATCAAATATCAAACCATAATTTTAGTTAATATATATCTCAAAATGTTGCTACCATTTTCATTTGCATTCCTCTCATATCAAATAGGGATTTACAATGAGCATATTATCTGTTGTTTTCTTATTCTTTCTTTCACTCATTTTCTCTCTCTCTCTGTTTTTATGTTGTACAAAACAATTGTCCTAAAAATGAAGACAATATTGAATTGTGTGCAATAAGAAATATTATTATATAAAAAAAACAATATTTTCGTTTTTACTGAGCTGATAAATATCATTGTTTTTCTTTTTTTCGATCCCTGTTGTGAACATACGTGACATTGTTTGTTTGTTTGTTTTTTCCTTTAGCCGCATCTACGCATGTAGTATTCTTAATATAAAAAAAAAGAAAAAAGTAATGAGCCATATAATAAAAATAAGACAACATAATAGAAAAACACAGTGTACATTTTTCTTTACATCTGCATTTTATTTCCCTGACTGATAAAGAATTAGAACAAATAAAACAAAAAAAAACAATGACAATGAATGAAAGCTTTGCCAAAAATTCTCGGCCATCGCTGCACTACAAATTTAATGAATTTTCGAAATAATATCTATTGATTTTCAATTAGCACAAAATCCTATTTGTTTCCTAATGATCGATCTGTGGTACATATAATTAAACAAACATTAAACTCATCATTCTACTTTGTTCAATATAGAAACATGTTTTTTTTGTGGAACTCACATATATATATATATATCGAAGAAAATAGTGAGTTTAAATTTTCGCGGCTCCTCCTACCAATTCCCTATTACACACCTTCGCCATTAGTTTTAAGTTTTGTTGAGTATTCTAGCTTATGGGAAATATACACGTTCTCCATTTCAGTTTCAGAGGCACTTCACTAACAATTTTTTGTAGTTGTTCAAAATTTTGTTTTCTTGCTTATGCTTAGAAATGTAATGCTTTTATTTAAAGCACATGTATTTATTATTATTCTATTATTAATTAATTATCGACAGGAAATCGATTGCTGAAAAGCAAGAGTTGAGACTAGCAGATTGAACTGATCTTTTCGTTAAGAGATAGGTCAATGGATTTTTCAATGGATTTCAGTCATCATCATCATTAATTCTTGTAAACCTTGCAAAGAGTTGATAACTGTGATATTCTTCCCATCGATTGTTTCCTGTACCCAGGTCAAACAAGCACGGTCGTAAACGACCGTATACGGAGAAATACGACGATTTACATGGTCACGTATTACGATCGTATATCTCCGTGTCGTATACGGAGAAATACGGTGAGATACGGAGAAAAATACGATCGTAAACTGAGATCGTATATGGAGTTCGTATACAATCTCCGTTTTGCTTCGTATTTCTACGTATATCGTCGTATTGCTCCGTATACGGTGACGGTGATATACGATCGTAGTACGTGACCATGTAATACGGCAAAATACGGTCGTATACGGAGAAAAACGGACCGTACACGGCCGTTTACGACCGTTTACAGACTCCGTAAACCTCGACCTGGGTATCCAAAAAATATTCATTTTCGTTGATGATAACGATAAGGCGCATCCCAATAACCATTCTTATTGTCTGCAATTCGAAACATTCTATTTGGTGGAAAACCCCACGATACATGGATATCGTTGCTACCTTTATAAAAATAAACGTAGATATTTCTGAACTAATCGAAAATTTTAACATAATGTGGAATATTTTTTTCAGAGCTTGATTCAACTGCTAGTATATCAATACATTTTAATTGAATTATTTTTGCATCGTCTATAATATGCTGAACAATAAAGCCACTATATGGATAGAATAGAACGTCTTCTTCTTCTGGAAATACTGAATATTTTTGAAATTTCACTACGATATGTCCAATCATCCTTTGTTGCTTCAATTTCAAATATACAGTCACCAAAAAATGTGCTACATCTTTATTTCTTGATGTTCATGTAAATATTGGCCATAAAAATGTTAAGCCTATTTTATATTCTTGTTTCAAATGTTGCCTATCAATAGATAATCCACAATAAACTTTAAGAGATTCGTTCTCGTTCTTATTTTTAATTGCAATTAGGAGTGTACAGCTCATGAGCGTGAGCGTTTTTTGACTTGTGGAAAGTGGGATCTTCCCTGATCACGTTTTTCAACTTTATTCCCCGAAAATCAACATTAACGATTTTTGTGCCTGGGGTCTCCCTCAGGTATCATGAAAAAAAAAAGGTTTTTTTCGAGCCAAAGCCATATGTGCTTGTAGATCTAGATGTGCTGATTACGAATATCACAATAAGAGCTCTCGAAATCTTTTATTCCTGAGATAGTCCCACCCACTCTGCGACCCTAGTTTTCATTGTTGTGGCCCTCATAAAATAATGATTCACTTAAGTTTATCCACAAACTTTTTTCTTAACCCAAAATTTCGAGTTCTCTACGGATCTGAGCTTTTTGCGCGAAAAAAAAATTTATTTTTGAAAGAAAAAATGGCCATTCCGACCCAGAAATTGATCCTTTTTTAATGCCTAGGATTTTGTACGAATAACATTTTAAGAAACTATTGATGTCGGAGCATGAAATTTGGACTATTTGGATAGTTTTTCAAGCTCTCTTCATTGGTAACGCTAAAAATAATTTGAAAAGGTGTACAACATGGTCAAAAGCTCTAAGTTCTGGCAAAACTTGTGCTCCGACTAGATCTGTCTATGTATTAGACGTTTGGCACGACATCAGTCTTTCGGCGACGTCAAGCTTGGGCTAGGGGTCCTA